AAAACACGTCACCTCAATGATTTGTACACTTGAGCCCGCGACACAGTCGGGTGACACTGGTCAGTGGATAGTCTTTTTGACAGCTGTCAATTGACCATAACATGGATGTCCATAGGGATGTCTACCATCAAGTTGAACACAGTATGTATATGCCTTGGACACCTAGTTAGTAATGCCCGCTCATTACAAGAAAACAGCCAACAAGAGCGTGCGTACTACTGTAGCCATATTTTATAATACAGTGAAACCTGTATTAAGCGGACACTACAGCATCACCCGAGGATGTGTGGGTGGCAGTCTTTCGCATTTCCGGTGTCTGGCATGTTGGGTGGTGGAATTTAATTACAAGTGTCCGTTTAATACAGGTTGGCAACAATAGAAATGACCATTTCGGGTACTTTCTAAGTGTCCGCGTCCGCTTAATAGAGGTGTCCGCTTTATGAAGGTGTCACTTAAAGTAAATAAGGGAAATAAATTTCGGGACTTCAGCTACTGTCCGCTTAATAGAGGGTGACCGCTTTATACGGTGTCCGCTTAATACAGGTTTCACTGTAATAATGTGATTTCTTTTCTAAAATGAGTGTTAAAGGTAGTATTAATGCCTTTAAATATCTTTTCTTTCGCTTCGCTAAGCTTTAAGATTGTCCTATAATTTCGCTCCACATGTCAATCACCCAATATGTTTGAACTGTTAGGCTGCGAGATCACCCGTAACGCGCGAATGGCGAAGCAAGGCCGCAAGTAGCCTGTGAGCAACAGAGTTCTCCATTCGAGGGATATCGTCATGCACGTGGGCGGAACGCGAAAGGAGACTTGATAGCAAGGAACCCCTTTCTGTTAGGCTGCGAGATCACCCGTAACGGAAGAGTAGCGAAGCAAGGCCGCAAGTAGCCTGTGAGCAACAGAGTTCTCCATTCGAGGGATATTGTCATGCACGTGGGCGGAACGCGAAAGGAGACTTGATAGCAAGGAACCCCTTTCTGTTAGGCTGCGAGATCACCCGTAACGCAAGAGTAGCGAAGCAAGGCCGCAAGTAGCCTGTGAGCAACAGAGTTCTCCATTCGAGGGATATTGTCATGCACGCGGGCGGAACGCGAAAGGAGACTTGATAGCAAGGAACCCCCTTCTGTTAGGCTGCGAGATCACCCGTAACGCAAGAGTAGCGAAGCAAGGCCGCAAGTAGCCTGTGAGCAACAGAGTTCTCCATTCGAGGGATATCGTTATGCACGCGGGCGGAACGCGAAAGGAGACTTGATAGCAAGGAACCCCTTTCTGTTAGGCTGCGAGATCACCCGTTCCCTCGCGACTCGCTTTACTCGCAAACCGAAAATTATATGGAAAGCTTGCGCGCAGGTTAGGCCACCAACCTCGTCCCTAGAGTTGTTACTTTTCATGCCTTACGGCTTTGCCCCCCGCTTGATATCTCTGGACACAAACTTCGATTAAAAAGAGGAGCTTGCTCGCGGTCTTATCTTGGAAAAAAAGACTCTTTCAATCTTTTCCTTTCAAAACGCAGAAAATGCAATATTTCAAGGAATCTCTTTTTCACATTGCAGCCAGGCATCTTATCGTTGGATTTCGAATGTTGTTCGAAGGGACTGGTAAGTAATTGTTCTTTTCATCTTAGGGGATTAATTCACGGTAGTTAAAAAACCATTTTGTTTTATTAGTTTTAGGGAACTTAAGGTTCTGGAGTGGGTCTAACGACCATGAAGAAAGGGTGGCCCCATCTCCAAAGGGGGTAAAAAAAAAAAAACAGCGCTCTAATAAATGAATTACCACTCCATGATATATACACTGGCAATTAAATAAGACGTTTTTGGCACACTATTTCTAGGTTTTGGTTCATATGGAAAGATGTACTATGACACCACTCTTCAAGAGGCTTTTTTTCGAGGCCTGAAATGCCACTCCAACGACTTACCAGCAACCTGCAAAATGGATAGGCTAATTGCAAAGTATTTGCACGACGAATACAACAGCGTTTTCTATGGAAAAGCGCAGAACCTGGGGCGAGTTCTTTGTAGAGCTTATGACGAAGCACTCGAGAAGTATGACGTGTTGATTTTACCGACAGCTCCGAAGAAGGCTTTAGTCTTCCCATAGGAGAGTGGCTCGCTGTCAGGTAAGGTTGTTTCTTTTTATGTTGAAGTCACGTAATTACTTGTCTGGGTAACCAACTCAATCTCTCCACTCGTACTTAAGAATTTCACCCACACACAAGAACCACCTTGGACAGCCCTACAAACAGTGACTCCATTTATAATATGGCTGATTTCGCGAGAGGGCAAGATGAAACGAATCCTGTATTCTAATAGAGAGAAGAAGTCGTTACGTCACGTTCCCATGGTAGCAAAATTTCTGGATGACAACAAACCGAAAATTCACTTAAGAAGTGAAGTCGCACTCACTTCAAACTTAATCGATCTTATTCAGCTTCATTTAATTTGTCAAATGTTAGCGAAATTTTCTGGGGTTGAATCCAAAAGTTAAGAAAAAGAAAAGGAAAATTTTTTTGTTGTGTTTACCTACTCCATAAAGCAAGCGCGTCCTGCAACGAAGGCTAAGAAATGTACAAAAAAGCGTGATGCACGTGCAAAGTTGTTGTTTTGCTAATATAAACTTATTGCTTTTTAACTGTTCTCGTTGCCGTCGCCGTCGTCGTTGCTTAAACTCCCTATTGTTGTGGTCCAGAAATATTGCTACCATGGTAACGTGACGTCACACTTTTCCTCTCAAGGTCTAAAAATTTAATAAGCGCCCAGGGTGGTTAATCGAATAAATAGGGTATTTCGTTGCTTTTTCCGGCGTTACTCTTTATGAGGTTGTACAAGGTGCCGAGTTTTTATGCATGGATGAAGTCCTAATGCGGCGTTAGAAGGTGTAGTGTAGGCCATATTCAGTAAAGTATTTCTAAGAGGTTTTTTGTAAAGTGTAAGTATTCAAATGAAAGCTACGGGGAAACGGGCTCTTTGTAATAATGTAACACNCGATCTTATTCAGCTTCATTTAATTTGTCAAATGTTAGCGAAATTTTCTGGGGTTGAATCCAAAAGTTAAGAAAAAGAAAAGGAAAATTTTTTTGTTGTGTTTACCTACTCCATAAAGCAAGCGCGTCCTGCAACGAAGGCTAAGAAATGTACAAAAAAGCGTGATGCACGTGCAAAGTTGTTGTTTTGCTAATATAAACTTATTGCTTTTTAACTGTTCTCGTTGCCGTCGCCGTCGTCGTTGCTTAAACTCCCTATTGTTGTGGTCCAGAAATATTGCTACCATGGTAACGTGACGTCACACTTTTCCTCTCAAGGTCTAAAAATTTAATAAGCGCCCAGGGTGGTTAATCGAATAAATAGGGTATTTCGTTGCTTTTTCCGGCGTTACTCTTTATGAGGTTGTACAAGGTGCCGAGTTTTTATGCATGGATGAAGTCCTAATGCGGCGTTAGAAGGTGTAGTGTAGGCCATATTCAGTAAAGTATTTCTAAGAGGTTTTTTGTAAAGTGTAAGTATTCAAATGAAAGCTACGGGGAAACGGGCTCTTTGTAATAATGTAACACTCAACGCTTGTCTTGTAGAGCTCTTGGAACTAGCATATATCAATAGCAGAAACACGTGTGCTTGCAACGTGACTGGTCACCCAGCTCTGTCAATCAACGCAGGATTTAGCGAGGGTTTACCAGTTGGAATGATGATTGTTGGAAGAAAGTTTGATGAAGCCACTGTTCTTAATGTCGCCTATGCTTATGAGAAGATCAGGGATACCACAAATTAAGGAGGTGGGGTGGCCGAGCGGTTAGAGCGCTGGACTTGTTATTCAGAGGCCCCTAGTTCAAGTCCTACCTTGACTGCTAGCAGGATTCGTTCTCGCTCGTCCCGAGTTCAAATTCTCGGCCACGTTTATTTTAAAAAAACTATCCTACTGACTTGCCTCCAGCTAGTCGGGGTTCTTAACCATGTCATGTTCACAACTATTGTCCCGGGAAAACCCAATGACACCCTTAAGAGATGTTAACGGGCGAGTTTTAACTTGTTTTATAAAAACGATTCTCGAGCAGTGTTCACATGGAAACGCTTTTAAATGGAGATGGTCACACCAGGAGCGTAGCTTCCATATACGCAGTTACGCCCGTGCGTACAGAGTGTTCACATGGAAACACTTCTAAATGCAGATGGTCGCACCAGGAGCGTAGCGTGGGAAAAGAAAATATATTTTTTGTTTCCTGAAAGCATTTTTATCATTGAATCGGGATGACTGATCAATTTTTCGCATTATGTTGGTGTCTTTGTGTTAGTCTGAGGGTAAACGTCTCGCCCGTTGCTGGTAACCTACTTGATGGCGTCACTGTTTTACCCTTTTTTCCCGTAAACACTGTACCTTACCGATAAGTCTAGAGATGGGTAAAATAAACAACTAACTACTGTATTTTCCTTCGTATATGTTTACTGGAAATGTCCTGCGGACAACGGCGGCAAGAAAATCGCATTTCCGAGACGAAAAATTTTCTGGGGGAGCATGCGCGCAGACCCCCTTGTGCCTAGTTTAGAGAGCCGAATGCGCTCTCACTTCTCTTTTAGTACGTACACCTTCAAAATCTTACGCTCTGTTCCTGCTTTACGTGTTAACTCGGGCTGGTCCGGGGCAGTACCCGTTCTGGTCCTTTAAAAAAGGCCTCCTTTTGTCTTCAATAGTTCAATCTTTATTGCCACATCATGTCAACCGAGCTTCCTCAGTAACAATTCATAATTTTTTCGGGGATTTTCCTGATAAATTATTTCAAAATTATTTTGTCTGTGACGCGCTTCCAGTTTTAATAGCGACGACATCTATCAACAAGACTCGCTATCGTTTGATTCTTTATCCGCTGGAGACAAAAGTTCAATGAATTGATCCTTAAGCTTTTCCCACAAGAACTGTCTCCAATCAACCTGCAAAACGGGAAGTCGCACAATTAGAACAATACTTAAACTTGAAGCTGACCCGGCACATTTGTTCAAGACGCCGATAACTCTATCCAGCCTTTGAATTATCAGTTACTTCTAGTAAAACTAAATTAGTGTCTTTATATCGGCGGGACAAAACATACAAGCTTCATTAAGACCAGCGTCATGCTTAGCAGCGTAAGGCCCGGGAAACATGAAAAACGGGCAGCCTCTTGCAGGCAGTGTCTTTAGAGCGGTAAAGAAAAAAAAGCAGCGAGCGCCAAAGAGTACTCAGGATTTGGCAAGAAACATGCGCCCAGTTCCAAGGGCGGGAAAAATATAACCGATGCACGGGTAAAAAGCACGTGACACTTGTTAGGGCCGGGTCTACAAAGGGTTTAAAGGTACGCTAAAACGGGCAGCAAAAACGTGCAATTTGTTTTGCAAAATTGCTGCAAAACAAGTTGAACAGCGATGTTTTGCGTTCAAACCTGTCTTTCAACAAATCAGCTTGTTGCAGGTTGCGGAAAGTTGTTGCAGAAAGTAGAGAGTAGTTCTACTTCTTGCAACAAAATCTGAAAAGGTTGCGCGTTTTACCGGCCTAAGGCAAACTTGTTTTGCACTAAGTGACGTAATTCCCGTGTATAGCGTGTCTCCCTTGTTTTATTATTCACGCAACTTGCAGAAATCTGATTTATTGCAAGACAGGTTTGAACCTGGGTGGTAAAACACGCAACATCGCTTTTAAACTCTTTTTACCGCAATGTTACAAAACAGGCTGTACGTTTTTGCTGCCCGTTTGACCGCAGATTTTGTCGCAAAAAGCAAAAGTAGCCCCACGATCACGTTCAATAATCAATAACACTGCTTATTACAATAAACTGAAGTGCGCAATTAACTTGTTCACGTATTCTTACCATGACTTTGTGTGTTCTCACGTGTCGTGGATTCTTGCAAAAATATCTAAGTTTTTTGGCCAGTTGCTGTGGTGTTGAGTACAGATATTCCGCTAAAAATAAGGCAAATTGCATCCTTTACGTAAGAATCCTTCTGAAAAATTCAAAGGATGAGACTTTATAATAACATTGCATAACTTTGTACCCCAAACCTCGTAAAGGGTCTGCTGTTCAATAACAGAGAACTCTTTTATTCGACATAGTATTAAATTTTTTCATTCTTACAAGTTATTTACACGTAATAGTGAGATAACAAGCTAGTATTTTTTCATATTGCCGTCAAGCTCTCTGCTGATCTTAAGTCTGTAGTCTCTACTGGAACCGGGGGGGGGGGTACTCCGGATTTCAAGTGACAGGGATGATCAAAGGATTTTTTGGGTTTGAAATTTTCGATTTCAGGATTTGGGTAGGAAAATTTTGGCAAGTATTTTTTTGGCTACCTTCATTTTAGTAGGGATTTTTGGGGGTAATCAAAACGATGTGAAGATTCGTGATAGTTACATCGTTCAATGCTTTCTGGAAATTTTTATTGCTCAGAAATTTGGCATGGAATTTTTGGGTGTTAAATGTTGGTCCAGGATTTTTTTGGGTTTTGACTTTTGCCCCCATTCGATCATCCCTGTAACTTGAAATCCGGGGTACCGCCCCAACTTGGGTACTGGAATAGGCTAGTCTTTGTGTACAAGTTCAACAGTTCTCACTAGATCATAAGTCCCAGAAACAGTAGCAGAAGATTTCTATTTCCATTGCGTTTCCATTTTTTTGATTCACACATGGGCAAGAAGGTTCCTCGATGATTCCATTTCGCTCATTACGTCACAAGTGAGAATCTGTCATCAGAAGCTGTGTGTAGCATACTGAACCTTATTATGGGAGTTTTCTTTTTTAACCCTTATTAGATAACCTTCCACACATATAGATTTAGACCGACTGACCACAATGAAAATAATAATAATAATAATTAATGATGATAATAATAATCTGTGAGCAGCTGAGACGTCTTTTGGTGGAGAAATGACAACAGTTCAGTCACTTAGTATCTGCAAACGTAAATACATTTATTTGTCAACTTACCAGGAAATATCTCAGGGTACACAAGTTTATTTGGACATATTGGGTAACAGCCATATTGCACCGACTCCAGCCTGCAAAAATGCAAATATTGGAATTGGAAACACATCAAGTACAATCGTAAGTGACATTTTGTTCATGCACATATTCTGTGATATCC